AACAACAACAACAACAACAAAAAGGACTAGTAAAGTCTTATTGCATATTGGATAGTATCACATTAGCCTGAGAAAGTCTTTTCATTGATTCACAAACATTTATAGAAAGTTCATAGAATGTGAAAAGTTAAACGGGCAATTATGCATCTGATACTTATTAACAACCTGCCCATATTGAACATGAGTTTTAGCTGGGGTACTTTTAGAAAGCTAGGCTATCTGGTTACTCCTTCCCAGTAACTGGTTTACAGGGCACCACAGTAATTAAAGGGAATTGTTAAGGTTCTTACCGTGTACTGAAAACTGTGGCCATGAAAATGAACTGTGTGTAGGTCGAATTCACCTCCTAAACCAATCAAATACCAATTCACTTCATCCCCAACGTGCAGCGTCAGACCTTGGTTATTTCCAAACACTCTTCCATTAATTGCTGTGAGGAACACAATTTTTCATATTCAACACGGATTTGAAATGGTATGTTTTTAGAAGCAATAAAGATTTTTAAGTGAGCCTGAGGAACTGACAAACACCACCAAGACATTCATTCATGGCTGTTCCTAATAGTAGAGTTTTTCTTGCTCAAGAAAATGAGACACTGATTTATGCTCTAACATAATCTGGTTAGACTTGAATATTTCACAACTAAGTGTTCTTAAATTAGTGATGGAATATTGGAATTTAAATGTGTCTATATATTTAAAAGGAGCTCTGGTAGCATAGTGGTTATGAATCAGGCTGCTAACCTCAAGGTTGGCAGTTCAAAACTACCAGCTGTTTCGTGGGAGAAAGATGAGGCTTTCTCCTCCCGTAAAAATTTACAGCCTTGGAAACCCTGTGCAGGGTCATTATGAGTTGGAACTGACTCCACGGTACTTAACAACAACAACAACATATATTTTAAGTATAGCTAAAATGATTACCAGAGACTGAGTATATTAGGAGTATGCATTTCCATTTTACTTCATGATCTGTCATTTGTAGGACTGAAAGCACTGTTTACTTGACATTCAGGTGTCTTGTCTCTTTTCTAATCACTCCTAAGGGATCTGTAGTTAAATGCCATTGAATCAGTTCTGACTTGTAGTGACTCGGTATAGGGTTTCCAAGGAGAAACTGGTGGGTTTAAACTGTCGACTTTGCTGTTCAAACCAACCTTGTGGTCCAGTGCATTATCCTGAAACTAACTCTAAAGTATTAGTTTCCTCATAATAGGAAGAAAATATTAATATTAAAAAATATATATGTATGTATATTCTCCTTTTTACTTTGCTAATCTGTGTGGATCTTTTGAAATGCATAAATATGGTTATTGTAGTTGTTAAGTGACATCGAGTCTATTCCAAGTCACAATGACCCTGTATAGGGTTTCCGAGGAACTACTGGTGACTTTAACCACAAACCCTTAATGTAGTTCAAGCTGACCTTATCCTATAAGCTGACGTAGGGAAACTTTTTTTTGCTATGGACCATTTGGATATTTATAACATCATTCTCGGGCCATACAAAATGATCAACTTAAAAATTAGCCTGCAATAATGTGATGACTGGAACTGCAGTTACCTTGGCAGGGCTAGGGGTTTCTCATCCCTGCTGCATAGGGTTTCTGAGGAATGGCTGTTGGATTTGACCCAGCAGTTCAATCTGACCTTGCAGTCCAGTGCATTATCCTGCAGCGTCAAACCAGAATTCCCAATGTGGTTGTTGTTAAGTGCTATCAAGTCGGTTCTAATTCATAGCGACCCTGTATAGGGTTTCCGAGAAGCGGCTGCTGAGCTTGAGCTGCCAGCCTTGTGGTTCAGACCAACCTTGCAGTCTATCTCATTAACCTGCAGTACCACACCAGGACTCCAAATATGGTGACAGGATGTAATTTGAATCTATGGAGATGTGGCTGTAAATTTTCTGGTGATGGAGAAGTGTGATAGAAAAAGCTCAAAGCCACTTCCCTAGGCCAATGCTTTCCAACTTAAATATGTATATACATGGCCTGGAGATCTTGTTAAAATTCCGATTCTGATTTAGTGGATCCGTAGAACCTAAGATTTTGCAATTCTAGGACTTTCCCAACTGATGCTGATATTGTTGGTCCATGGATTACACGTCAAATAGCAAGTACCTAGATGACTGACAATGTTACTCCAAAGTACACATCTGTTCTTGTCATTTCTTAGGTCAGTACCTTACTGTCTCTTTCTCAGTGTTTTTTATTTTAAACAGGGTGACTTTTGGCAATGCCTTTTGGCCCAGAAAGGCAATTTGGCTATGACTTTTGGTCCAGAAAGACAATTGGCAATGTCTGAACATGAATTTGATTGCCACAACTTGCTGGGTAGATTGCTACTGCCATCAAATGGGTAGAAACCAAGGATGCTGCTGAACAACTTAAAATGCACAACACAGTCCTCCACAAAAAAGAATTCTCCCACAACGTCAGTGGTGCCAAGGCTGAAAAATTCTGGTGGAATTCTCTTTTTCTATTGGACAAATTCAGCTCCTCCCCTTCATGAAGGTTTTCTTTCTTTTTTAAAATATGAAGGTTTTCTTGACCTTTCAAATTAGAATTTAAAACCCAGCAGAGTGTTTACATCTCTGTTACCATGTCTTTCCAGTGCTTTGTATTGCAACAATGGACAAATTTGCTGCCCACTGGAAGGGAGACCCCTGATTTTATGGGCCTGAAGACTCCTCAGGCCTAGTGTGATCTTTTGTGCCTTCTATGATGCTCATTAAAAATATGGGTAGGAAGGATATTGTCTTTGAATTAATTTTGTAATAACATACGTTTCCTGATGAAAAAAATGAAGAAGTTGAGAATGACCATATTTAGATGTGCCTTTGTAACCCCTTACTGATTGTGTCTCTGAGCTTCCTCAGATGAAAGGCTAGGATGAGAAAAACTGACTGGGTAAGGCTATGATGAAATAAGATTGTTTATGTACTTTTTATTTGAGTAATTGGGGTGTACGTTACAAACGAGACACACCAGGTCAAAATCAACCTATAAAAGAATTTGATTGAAGGTTTTAAAAATTCTGCCTATGAAGGCCTTTGGTCCTGGTAGGGGAAGGGTGGATAGGGTTGTGTGTGCTCCAGTTTTCCTTAAGCCCCACCTCCCTTGTCTTTATGTAAAATACTTAGAAAAGCATGTAGTAGTGTTCTTGCAGAAATGATAGCTGATATTCCTGGTTTTACATTGTTGCATGACTCTGGAAGGTGTTAGAGACTGTCATAAGGCTCTAAGCCCGTGATCTATGTAAACTTTGGGCCAAATTCAGCCCACAGTCTACAAACTAAGAATGCTTTAAAAATTTTTAAATGATTGAAAACAACAAAAGAAAAATAATATTTTGTGACATGTGAAAGTTATATGAAATACAAATTTCAGTGTCCATAAATGAAGTTTTATTGGTTCACAGCCACATTATTTTACTAAAATATTGTCTATGGCTTGTTGTTGTTGCTGTTAAGTGCCATCGAGTCAGTTGTGACTCATAGTGACCCTGTATAGGGTTTCCAAGGAGTGGCTGGTGAGTTTAAACTACCGACATTACAGTTCAAACCGACCTTGCAGTCTAGCAAATTAACCCACAGCGCCACACCAGGACTCCACGTATGGCTTACATACTCATGTTGTCTATGGCTGATTTTGTGCTTCTGTGGCAGAGTATGGTCTCTGACAGAGAGACCCTATGGACTGTCATCTGCTCCTTACAGAAAACATAACTCCTGGTCTAGGTGATCTACAGCATAGCTCTATGTGATTGTATTCTACCAACTGTGATGAGCTTGACAAATGTGATCATTTATGTGGAACATTTTGAGAGAGCTTTCACTGGTGAGTTAGCAGATATTACCGTGCATTTGATTGCTGAGGTCAAAATCATCATCTTCCCTGTCTATGTTGTTTGGATCAGAAGAATAGGCGCTGATATTCTCTTCAAAGTACCAAGACCTGTTCTCATTAAAAATCATGAAGAGGAGAACACGGTGAACTATGCTGGGTCTGGTGTTTTTGCGACATATGATTAATGACCCTATTAGTCCACTGTTAAGATCCTGAAATGGCAAAGCAAGATTATTACTATTATTATTAACTGCGCTCACAATTAAAAATTTCCACCACACAATAAAAGGAGCACAATAGATTTTTAGGCTCGTGAGGCCAGATCTTAGTTTTTAATGATTGGGATTCTTAAACTGAGAGTAAGTAATAAAATGCTTTTCATGCTAAAATTTTGATTTGAAGAAAAATTGTGTTCTCTCTCATTAAAGTCTAAAGAGAACAACAAACTCCTGAAAGGAATTTTAGATGCATTCTTCAGCAGATTTGAGAGCTGTATTTAAACAAGTTTAATTAAGAGACCAAACTTTGATGATTTTGAGTAGAATTCCCTGGCATTGGAGTCTGTTGGTAGAGAATTAATTAGAAAGGACTCAGGTCTTGTCCCCATTCTGCCTCTGCCTCACAGCAGCTTTCTGCCAGGGGTCTTGGTTTACAGTCACTTTGTTTTGGAGGACTGTTTTAGTTGTTGTTCTAGGCAGAGGGTGAGTCAAAATAAGCAACTCCAAAAGAGGAGACTTTTTTTTTTTTTTTTAATTTCAATGCAAACAAACTTGGATTTCAGTATTGAGTTAAAAATATATATACATATGTATTTTTTGTTATTGTTAAGTGCCATTGAGTCATTTGTGACTCATAGAGATCCCTAAAGAATTCTGCAGGCTGTAAATCTTTGAGGGGACAGAAATCCTCACCCATCTCCCTCAGAATTACTGGTGGGTTTGAACCATCATCCTTGTGGTACGTAGTCCAGCGCTTAGCCTATGGACTCACCATGCAATGTATATATTTATTTCTCACTAATAGTAGAAGTTTTAAACGTCATATCTTGTTTCTTGAAGCCCAAATCTTATTCAATGGAATAAAGAATGAGAGATTATTATTATTATACAGTTAGACATATTTCCACTTGTAGTGACACTTTTGAAAATGTCATACAGTCTAAGTAATCATAATGAAATTATTTGATTTGCTCTCAAAAAAAGCAAACTTGTGAAGGAGTGAAAGTTGAGCAGCATTTGTTTACTTGATAGAGCACATAGCACTAAGAGTTTTTGTTTTTTTTAACAGAAGAACAAAGACAATCCTCTTCTTCCTTCAATTATTATTTCTAAGAGTAAGTAAGATAAAAACTGGTTTGAATTCAAATTTACCTTAACGAAGTCCACAGTTGAATAGTAAACCCAAGGTATGCACTCAAAGTCATTTGAAGTAGGACCAGTTCTTTCAGGAATCTGCCAGGTGTATGTTTGAATTTCTCCTAAAAAGGCAAATACTGTGTATTTAAATGCAGCATTTTAAATAATACTTCTTCATGGAGAACCAGATAATGAGCAGACACTATAGCTATGAAATTAATAATCAGCATAGTCCTCACTTTCACTTCAGGCTCCTTTGCACTGACATAAATAAGGGATCTGAGATTCAGTTTCCTCATAAACATAAAATGGCGATTTAGGGATTAGGTGAGAGACTGCATCTGAAACTTTTAGGATTGCATTGCCTGGGCCACAGTGTGAAGTCAATGTCGATATCAGTGTTGGCTGTTTTGTTTCCAGGATTAGTAAATCTAAACCTTATCGTGATTCTGCCGTTTAAAAATTTCAACCATTAAATTTCTAATTTATTCACTGTAATGAAAACAATGCAAGCTTTAACAGGTGACAGGTTTGTCTATTCCAATTTATGGCACATTTATGTCCTCTTTCCTCTGAAAGTCATTTGCATTAGCCTAATAGAGTCCTAAGGAGCTCAGATAGCATAGTTGTTACAAATCAGGCTGCAAACCTTAAGGTCAGCAGTTCAAAACTACCAGCTGTTGCACGGGAGGAAGATGAGGCTTTCTGCACCTGTAAAGATTTACAGCCTCAGAAACCCTTGTACAGGGTCGCTATGAGTTGAACTGACTCCACGGCACATAACAACAACAACAAATGGAGTCCTGGTATGTCACTGTGGGCTAATGCGTCAGACTGCAAAGTCATTTGAACTGCAAGGTCAGCGGTTCAAGCTCACCAGCTACTTCTTGGAAACCCTATACAGGGTTGCTATGGGTTGGAATCGACTTGACAGCTCTTAACAACAACAACAATGGACTTGAAAACTGTACTCCTGCAGGAGAGAGAGTTCTTGAGTTCATCCGCTCTGTCTTTTGTAATTCTTCACCTTTCAGTTCTAGAGGCTTCAGTTACTTTTTCCATGCATCTATGTCATAATTTTCATCCTCCAATAACCAACTCTAGCTTCCTGCTTTTACTCAGGACTAACTTTCCACTTACAGCTCACCACACAGTGTCTGGTCCACAGTGGGCACTAGAAAGTATTTGTGCTCTACATGGAATGTACCCTTTCTTGACTAACCAATATGGGATGCTGACTTGCAAAAGTCCTTCATAGAAGCTTAATTGTGGCGCCTCCACAGAACTGTCTGTTTTCAAAAGCAAATGGTAATATTTCATCCACCATCAAAGTATACCTTCAATTGCTCTGTCTCACAAATCTTCCCATTCCAAATTTGCCTCTTCTGTTGACATTCTTAAATTTGAAACTACTTGGAGTTCTGATGTGACACTGTAGAATAAGCATTTTCTCTTCCTTTCCATAGTCATTGATCCCCAGAAAGTTATCACATAAACCTCTTTCATATGATGCTTTATTTCAGAATCTGCTATCTGAAAATTTTTATTAAAAAGCAGCCATTTTCTTCTGAGGTGGCTATGGTGAATGGCAAGCTATAGAGCAGTGATGCCCAAGAAGTGTTGATACATGAGTTTTATCACTTCTCCTTAGAAGTTCTACTCTCTCCACATCCCCTCTCACTCACTGCCTCTTGTACTCAACTCCTGCCACAGTGTTTGACTTGGAGAGATGAACACAGCACAGAAATACCTGGCAGCTGGACAGGAATGAAAGTGGGAGGAGAGTAACCAGAGAGGAAATTTTAGATACAAGGGAAAGTGGGCCCTGAAGACCAAATGCCCACTTGACAGTTTTGTCCCACATTTGACTTGAAAATGGAGTTTCCTTTTCAAACTTTTTCTTCTGGTCTTTCTTTCTAGCCCACTGGACTTTCTTGTCTGGAACTATACCCATGTTTAAGAAAGAACATCTGTACCATTGTTGTTTGTTGTTAAGTGCTGTCGAGTAGGTTCAGACTCATAGTGACTCTGTATAGGGTTTCCAAGTACTGGCTGGTGAGTTTGAACCACTGGCCTTGTGGTTAAAACCAAAGCAATTACCTGGCTGTGTGGGAACAACAGTAGAGTAGTTTGTTCTCACTCCATGAGCGTGGATTGAATATGGTCTTGAGGCTTTGTTTTTAAACAGAATTCGGAGTATATTACCAGGGTTGAGAAATATTAATGGACCTAGGGAACATAAAATAGAAAATGAATGAATAATTGGGTTTGTTTTTAATTACAACTGGAGTCACTGATCCTCTCAATTATTTATACAATCATTTACTTGCATCCCTTTATTTAACATGCAGCCAAATGAAACATAAACATTTTTAACAAGTGGATCATTGTTGATTTATGAAACATGGTTTTTTCCTAGAAAGATTTAAATGATCTAGTTTTTTTGTTGTTGTTGTTGTTTTTTTAAATAAGCTTTGTCTCTAGAAAGTTGTTTTGATGAGCATCAGTTAATGCCCAGGAAAACATGCTCCTACAGCTTTAGAAATGGAGCCATCTAGTTTTCTTCTTTATCAGTCTCACCTTTTGAATATTTTATTCCTTGCCCCTTCACCTTAGTGGAATAGCACAGGGAGCTGCAAGGGCTATTTACAGACCACTACTGATTTTCTCTTAGAGACTAGACACCCATTCATTTTACCCTCTTCCCTTCCACCCCAGGATCAGAACTACAAGTATAATATTTTTAAAAATAAAAAATTATCATCAACAACAACAACCACAAACCCTCTTCCTATTTGGAAGCAGATTGAACAGGTGGTTGTAACAATTTTGAAACAGAGATGGCTTTGAAAGGAATTGAACAGTAAGAACTCTCTTCAAATTTGTGCTACAGTTGCTGAAAACAGAGTCCTGAAGATGCCTGGTGAATATTATATGCTGGTTAAAGACAGGGCTACTCTTTCTGCTAAGACAATTCCACCATCCCACATACTAAGCATGTTTTTACTTTTCCACAAAGTGTTTTCCTTTTTGCATAAATTGTAATAGAATCTAGAGGTTCATATTACACTATTTTTGTTGGTGCATTCAGCCAGAATCCCAGAGAAAACAAACATCCTGCTGTTACTAAAGACAGGCACCTATCTCAAAGCAATGGGAACTAGATGGGCCTTGTAGGGGTGAAAAAGGGACAACCTCAAGAGGTGGATGCAGAGCCAAGATACATAAAGGTTCATTCTCATCAGTACCCTAATTCATCAGCTGGGGGTCCCAGCAAGGAAATGGTCTCTGGTATACACACAGATAGCAAGACTTGAGTATATTTGAGGAAATGTCATATGCCTTCTGGAAATGCCATACATGGGTGCCTAGAGATGACTCGTAGGTTTCCTAATTGTTCTATCAAGGGTAGACAAAGGTGAAAAACACTTAAATTTAAACAATGAATCACATCTCCGCCTGTATTAGGGTTCCCTGGGCTTTGTCTTAATTTCAGATATTATCCCTAATTTCTAAGGTCCCTTCTAGATGTAGAATTCCTTGGTTCTAAAAATAAGAACCTAGGTAATTCGATCATATTACCTTTGTG